AAGTAGTGAATATATATTCAATATAAATATGTATGTTTATATTCAAAACTACTTTCACGATTTGATCTCGGCTTTTTTTATTGTCATTATATAATTCCTGGCGTTTTCAAAATTTTACAACTTTTGCGATCCACGGACGACTAATAATGTCTAATGTCTCATTATAAGTACTATCTATAAGACTAGCGAAACTCGCGAAAAATAAGAAAATAATTCAAGATATTTTTGTATTTTATCAAGATATATTTTATTAAAACATTGTTTTATAGAGATTTTCCGGCTATAATCTGATACCAATGCTCGATATGATCCTGGCTTGCATGGCCGTCACGGCGCCGGCGGTCTTCGCAGAACTGACCAAGAACACGGTGGATAAAATCAAGAAGATCCTTGGTTCGCAACTACTTAGATGTTCAGGTATGATTTTTTATGTTAAGTTTAGGGATTTTAATTTGTTTAGAACAGCGGTCGGGGAACTTTTTTAATTATTACCCCAAATTTTTTTTGTGTAAGTTGATATTACCCCATGGCGAAGAACAAAAAAAAAACGAAATCGCTTCTTTTTAGCATCTTTCATATGATAACTGTAACGGGTGAATTAAACTTAGTTCAGTTCCGGCCTGGACAAAGACTTTTGCTTTATAAAGCACAAGTCCGGCCTCGCGTTGAATACTGCTCCCATCTCTGGGCCGGGGCTGCCAAATACCAGCTTTTTCCTTATTTGACTCCATACAGAAGAGGGCCGTTCGGATTGTCGATAATCTCATTCTCACGGATAGTTTGGAACCTCTGGGCCTGCGGAGAGATTTCAGCTCCCTCTTATATTTTTTGTACCATGTGTTCCATGGTGCTCTGAGTATGTTCTGAGTCTAGTCATGGTGCAGAGTGCTCTGAGTAATTGTTTGAGGTGAAACCATCATCTCGTTTTTACCGCACCGCCCGCCACCGGAGTAGAGTTCATCCATACTACCTGGAGCCATTGCGGTCATCCATGCGTTTCTAGAGGTCTTTTTGCTACGTACCATCCGACTATGGAATGAGCTCTCTCCTCTCCACAGTGTTTTCCGAGCGCTATGACATAATATCCTTCTTCAAACGAGGCCTGTGGAGAATATTAACCGGTAGGCAGCAGCTTGGCTCTGCCCCTGGCATTGCTGAAGTCCATGGGCGACGATAACCATTCACCATGAGGTGGGTCGTATGCTCGTCTGCATACAAGGGCAATAAAAAAAAAACAGTTTAATATCAAACCAATCGTCAGAAAAAAAAAACATAATATTAACAATACCGTAAAACCATTCTTTCCAGACGAATCGCTTCGCTACGAATTGGAGATAACTCTTGAATATGTAATTCAACGTCCATTTTCGTTTAGCATCTGGCGAGCTGTCTCTCTAGACGCGTCTCTTCCTGTCGCCATGACAAGCTTGTGCATCACATATGTAATCGTTATTCTACAGCTCACACAGTTAAGACCCTAATAGACTCAAGCACAATAAATTCGCGAAACGAGCTATTTATTTAGTTCTAGATTTGCTATGCACCAACCGCTGAATTTATGGATACGATAAGGAATTTAAGAATAAGTTCCAATAAGACGATTAGTCATTTAAAGGTATTTATTGATAATTCCAAATAATCTGTTATTAGGTTTATATATCAATAGTATAGTTTGTTTTGGGAATCTATTTCGTTTGGTTCACTCAAACAGTACAATTATTGGGACTAAATTATTAAAAATGATAAATTATTTATTAAATACAGTAAAAGCTGCTTATTCGCGGATCTAATCGGTATATTTGTAAAAGCGCTTTTTCATATTCAAGGTTTCTATATTCGGAGTATATTTACGGAACATATACCCCGCAAATAAAGTGTTTTACTGTAATACTTATAATTACATTGTAAAATTTAGAACTAGAAATTCATCATTATATTTATTATTTGTATGTTGAACGGGTAAATGACCCGAATTTCTTTCTAGGGACTTGCAAGTAAGCAAACCAGAAAAAAATGTAAATCTATATACACGTGTTTATTGGACTTCACAAAATTCATTTTCTAAAGTATCTTTCATTGTATTCTCTGTCGCTTTATAACATCTTGTGGCGTTTATGAACGCACATTTTTATGATGCGTAAGCCGGAACGCAAGAGATGTGGGAAAAAGAATATAGTCTGTGACACGGGACCTTTTTACCGCCGAAAATTTAAAACGTAAAAATAATTTATAATGTGTTTATTAACTAATGTAATATAATTACTTAGAATTGTTTATGCCGCTACAACAATAAAATTTATCTTGTTTCAACTGTGGTGTTAATTACATAAAACACGACTTTACGGCGAAATAAAGAAGGGACTCTATATGAACTCCCTTAATCTAAATGTATCTTCACAATCTTCTCCTTCTTTGTGCTTGGGATTCCTGTACGCTGCAAATAAACTGATAGTGTTGTTAACTGTTCTGGTGGTTTAATTTTATAACACTTCACAAGTAGCTCCGGACGGATCGGGATATTGTCTGTCACTGAGCAACATTAAAGTAACCTAATAGAGGTTTGCAATTAGCCCTTGCAGTAGACGCATTCAGCTCTAACACTAAGAGCAGGCTTAGGGACCCCGGTAGCCGTACTCGTCGAACTTTTTTTTTTATTGCTTAGATGGGTGAACGAGCTCACAGCCCACCTGGTGTTAAGTGGTTACTGGAGCCCATAGACATCTACAACGTAGACGCGCCACCCACCTTGAGATACAAGTTCTAAGGTCTCAGTATAGTTACAACGGCTGCCCCACCCTTCAAACCGAAACGCATTACTGCTTCACGGCAGAAATAGGCAGGGCGGTGGTACATATCCGCGCGGACTCACAATTGGTCCTTTTTTTTTTTTTTTTTTTTTTTTTCTGGTAGAGGGCCGAACCTCCTACGAGGTCCCCGCGCAAAAGGGGCGCGCGGGGTATGTGAGACTCAACGATCTGCATGGTGTTGTGAGCAGACCGCGGGCCCAAGGATTTTAGAGCCCACCCACTAAACGACTCCCCTGCACTCTTACACCCGACGTCCGATCCCCTCCGAGGTCAGAACCCGGATGAGGTAGGGGGGCTACCNGCGCGGGGTATGTGAGACTCAACGATCTGCATGGTGTTGTGAGCAGACCGCGGGCCCAAGGATTTTAGAGCCCACCCACTAAACGACTCCCCTGCACTCTTACACCCGACGTCCGATCCCCTCCGAGGTCAGAACCCGGATGAGGTAGGGGGGCTACCGCGGTCAACACTACAACCAGACGGCGCGGCTCACCCCAAGGACGCCCGGCCGACGGAGCCTCACAATTGGTCCTACCACCAGTAATTACGCAATTTTTTTTTATTTTTTTATTGCCCTTGTAGGCAGACGAGCGCACGACCCACCTGATGGTGAGTGGTTACCGTCGCCCATGGACTTCAGCAATGCCAGGGGCAGAGCCAAGCCGCTGCCTACCGCTTAATACTCTCCACAAGCCTCGTTTGAAGAAGGACATGTCATAGCGCTCGGGAAACACCGTGGAGGGGAGCTCATTCCATAGCCGGATGGTACGTGGCAAAAAAGACCTCTGGAAAGGCACTGTGGATGACCGCAGTGGCTCCAGGTAGTATGGATGAACTCTACTCCGGTGACTGGCGGTGCGATGGTAAAAACGAGATCTCATCATCTCGAACAATTCCTCAGAGCACTCCCCATGGAACATACGGTACAAAATACAGAGGGAACCGAAGTCCCTCCGCAGACCCAGAGGTTCCAAACGATCCAATTATAATTTTGCGGGTTTGATTTTTATTACACGATGTTATTCCTTCACCGTGGAAGTCAATCGTGAACATTTGTTGAGTACGTATTTCATTAGAAAACTCGGAAAAGAGTTCCACTTGCAACCTAACCTAAACATCAGCCCGCTGAGTTTCTTGCTGGTTCTTCTCAGCGGGTCGCGATTACGATCCGGTAGTAGATTCATTCGCGAAGCAGCTACTCTTGAGTTGTTAGGTCTCCTTTGGAGGTGCTCGAGTAGCTGTTAGCAAATCCCACTTCTCCTGGCTGAGCCTTTACTCGCCCACCTGTCGTAGTGAAACTGGAATGGCCTCATGGCCACCAGTAATTTTTCAATCATAAAAAAATCACAATTATCTAATAATTATTGTTTTCATCATTTCCAAATAATTTTACTGAAGTTTACTGTAAATGAACAGCAATAAAACTAGTCTTAAGATATTGTCCTTTTTATTTAATACTTTATGGTACACAGAAAAATAATATATCGACGCTTGAAAGGCAAAGGTGACTAAGCGACAATAACTGCTTTTTACATAAATGATAGGCAATAACCATATTCGATGCGCAAAAAAAATATATTTCTAGGTCTATTAAAATCATTTCAATTCTACAGCTACTAGCTAGTTTCTACTACAGCTAGATTCGTTAAAATAAATTTTGTTTTCAGGTAATTCAACTTGAAATTAGTCTACTGTAAAGTTCACGCATTGTCGCTTAGTCAAGTTTGCCTTTCAAGCGTCGATATGTAAAAGAAAGAGAAGTATATACAAAATCAAGATTAACTAAGACATGAATTTTCTCCCACAAAACCCAAACACTTAAGGCATAATGAGGTAAGGGCTTAAAATGTAAAACAGACCAGAAAATAAAAACAGTTCTAAAAATTAAGATCTAAAATTTTCTATAAAATTCAAAATATAAAAATAATTGTGAAATATTTTAAATTACCCTCAAATTCATTACACATATATTACACATTACACATATACCTCTGGTAAGCACTCGATTTTTGTGCCTCAAAAAATGATAACATGTTTTTTTTTTATTGCTTAGATGGGTGGACGAGCTTACAGTACACCTGGTGTTAAGTGGTCACCACCCACCTTGAGATATTAGTTCTGAGGTCTCAATATAGTTACAACGGCTGTTCCACCCTTCAAGATTATAGTATTTTCTCTAAGTTCCATTTTACATTAGAAATTCGTCGGACGGCATGTCTGAATGATAAACTTTGGCCGTTTTGGTTGGGCGTACCTGCCTTGTTCCACCCACGGGCTCATGCTGATATCCGTATTGTCAATAGCATTAAATACTGTCTCCATAAACATATAAACCAAAATAATAAACAGAATAACTATCAAGCCATCCAGTAAGAACCAGTAGGCCTCGATCCAAGACGTTATGAAATACAAAACGTACATATTTCGCTCTTTGAATATTTCACAAGGTTTTTCGAGAACAGCGTACGGTATTGTCAGACAAGCTAAAGATGTTAATATTGTTAGTAACAGAGACACATTCGTCACCATTTCCGTATTGTAATTCAGTTCGGTTCTCTTGTATTTCTTTTTCTTTTTGCTTAATAATAACTGCCGGAGCCGTTCTTCTTCTGAAGGCTTGTTAAAGCCCAAATAATCGATTAGTCTGAAAATTAACGAAATGCTCATGAATCGTTTTCTAGAATGACATTCGATTAAAAAACACTAGTATAAAATGAAAATTACACTAATATTGGGAATTTTAATGGTTAAACAAGTAGTCTAGTCATGCAGTCTAATGACGAATTTAAACTTTGCTGTATGCAATAGAACGAGATATATTATTGACCACAACAGAGTTGTCAGTATCGATTAAAGAAATGAATAAACAATTACAAAATAATTTTGACACTCTCTGTTCGAGATTAAACATCGAAATCTCGAATGTTCTAGAGTACTGGAGTTTAACTGAAACACATATTGCTTTACAACAGAAATGGAAAAAACAGTATTTATTACCTAGCCGTACAGTTTCCCAAAATTACAAATAATCACTAAAATTTATATCAATTAAAAGTCTCAAATACATACCTTTGAATATACAGACGGTAACAAATCATTTTTTAACGTAGTGAAACCACAGCTTAAAGAAGGTCTATCTGAAAATCACTTTTGAAGACTAAGAGTAATTCCAATTGCAACTATATTATTATATTTATTATAATCGACTGACTTTGGTCGTCACAGAAACGCAATTAAACCAAATCTAATGTTCGTTTCGATTTTAACTAATTGATATCATTAAGAACCATTTCGTTGCCTAAATATTACCGGAAACAATTGGTGCGCTATTATTAGTGACTGATAATTGCCACTGACTGATGTATCTCAAATATCCTGAGTACCTCGGTCGGAATCAAGTTCTTTGTTGAAGAGATTTAGCATTTGGAATCTGTGTGTACTTATCCTTGCCATCGTATAACTAAAATTCAAAACACAAATTAAAGAAAACGTCGTCGTCTATCGAGCAGTAAATTTTTGCAAAGCCTTGGATGACCATGGCCATGACTTGATTGCTAAACACCATTGGAAGATGCGATTACAATTTCAAGCTGTTTTATAATGGCTGTCGCGCCCTTCAAGTGGGCAGATATTGCAGCAGAAATACACATGATTGTGGAAACTATTGCTGTGACATACCACAGCCATTAATTAAAAGGAAAGTTATTAATTTTGCTGGTTTTAAAATGTTATTCGTTCGTCGTGGAAGTTACTCGTGAATACGTAATGTAATGTTAGGTTGCTATGAAAAAAACAGGAATTTACCCAATAAGTTTTCCTATATAGTGTCACATACAAAGCAATAGACAAAAACACAGCAAAACTGGGTCCCCAAACTAGGCTCAGATCAAGTCATTAATTCTCCATAAAGTTAGATGAGATCAAATTGAGAAGTTTCCCCTTTTGCTTTTGCATAATTTTTTTACCATATTGAATCATTCAAGCAAAATCTACGGTAAAATGCCCCAATTGAGAACCTCCCTCATTATTTCCCATTTCAACTAAAAACTGATGATCATTATTACTCAAGGCCAGTTTCAATAGTCACTAATGAATGTATTGGGTAATAAACTAAATAAATTTGACAGCCTGACATATTGATATTAATTTCTTATCAAATCAACTAATGGGTTTTTCACTTGGAACAACAGCATTGTCAATGTTCTTTTTTGAGAAACCTGTTGTTTTTACTATAATTCAAATAACAATGATCATAGTTAAACCTGCCAAATATAAATTGAGTGACCCGTTTAGGCCGGAAGATACATCGAAATTATCAGAGTCTATAATTATGTATTTCAAAATTTTTCACATATTTTTAGGCATCGATCTTGGTGGATTTCGTTACCAGAATCGACAAGTCAAATACGCTGTGAGATTAATATCATTGATCCAGCCATTAGCCATTTATGGTTTGTGTATATACGCTTTATTAAAAATTATTGCAAACACTGAATTCTTATGGTACACTATATCCTTCACCGAATATGTAGCTATGTCTGTCGCCATTACGCTATTCAGTAACGAAATGACGTACTGCAATTTTATGATTAATTTAAAGTTCATCGATACAAAATTGAAAATTGGCGATGTATCGTTCAGAATTGGAGTGAAGCTTATATCCAGTACTATTCTCATCGGAGTTACTAGATGTTTCACGACGACGACTTATTGTCTCCTTGGCTTCTGTGCAAAACCGACTGCAGCACAAATTTTATTCCAAATACCATGGCTCACGATAGACTTAATGCTTTTACAATACATGTTTATATTCTATGCGTGTTACTGTCGTTTAGTGAAAATTCTGGGAATTTTGAAAAAGCGGAACACAGATATAGAGGAGATGCGAAGGATTTATAAAACTCTAGTTGACGTGTTGGATAGAGCAAGAGCACCATTTGATTTAGCGGTGAGTGAACCATTCGTTTTTTTAAGACTTTTTTTAATTTAAGCTCGGAAAGCGTTAAATTATTCTGAAAGTTATATAAATATAATAAATGAATGTTGTCTTTACCCACGAAAATGCCATTTATCAAAAATATAATTAAAGGCAATTATTCAAATATTTTTTATTTATATTAGTCAAAATTGTATCCATGGTATCGATTCACCTCTAGTAGCTCAGCGGTAATTCCAATTCTAATGTCCTCCTGGAAGAAATACGGGAGCCAATAAATAAGCTCTTGAAAGGATTTTTTTACTAAGTACTTCTCCAGTATGTTTTTGAGGCAAACGTTGGAAGCTGCTACTAACTCAGCGGTAGATTGAGTATCGTCAGCTTCTACTATCGCCTTAAATTCGTCGTTGTTGACTTTAGTTCTCGGGCAAGCACGGGGTTCATTTTTTTAAACCTAAATTTCCATCTAGGAGGCTTCAAAACAATAACTATGGTATATGGGATATGTGGGTCAGGACAGTCCGCAAATGTTGGGAGCGGGCCGCGGGCCCAAGGGGTGGAATTTTAGACCCTACACACTAAACGACTCCCCTGCACTCTTTCACCCAACGTCCAATCTTCGCCCGGGGTCAGAACCCGGTCATTTGGGGGCTCCCAGGGTCAACTCTACAACCTGACTAACGTAGAATATCTGTGTCAACGTCGGAATGAATACTGTAACAGCGATACGTACTTTAGTAACATTGTTAAAGAATTTTTTAAATTGAAAAGGATCGTTTCGTTATTGTAAATTCTTTTTGAGATGTTTTTAATTTACTTTTTACAGAATGATTATATTTAATGATTCTAGCTATAAACAGTTTATGTTTTCTTAATATTTTCCTAATAGTAAATGTTGTAATGGTAATATGTTTCAGTATCTATTAGGATTACTCTTTAGTATACCAGATGTGCTTTATTCGATCTATGAGTCAATAATCAAGGTTGGAGAGATAAACACCGCAGTAAGTTTTAAGACAAATATTTGTGATTAAATGTCCAACATACACGAGATCATAACTGATACCTAAATACTAAATGGTAATTTACAGAAAGCATTATCAATGAGTATAATATACATTACGAACATACAATCACTGGCGCTGATGTTTGCACCGGTTTTAACGGCTGGATTCCTCCCATCGTTGACGATGAAAATGAGGATAATTTTACATGACAAACTATTGGAAGAACAAGGTAATCAAAATCCTCTTTAAACTCTCTAGCCTCGGCACATCTGTTATATACTATATTGCTACACGAGCTCCTAGACAATACAACGTGAATGTCACTCGAGGTGGTAGTATCAAATATAGTAGATCTAACGGTCTTACCATACCTTGTCAGAGTTTTGTTTTATTGCTTAAATGGGTGGACGAGCTCACAGCCCACCTGGTGTTAATAGGCTACTGGAGCCCATAGCCATCAACAACGTAGATGCGCCACCCACGTAGAGGTATAAGTTCTAAGGTATCAGTATGGTTACAGCGGCTGTCCCACCCTTCAAACTGAAACGCATTACTGCTTCACGGCAGAAATAGGCTGGGTAGTGGTACCCATCCGTGCGGACTCACAAGAAGTCTACTACCAGTAAAAAAGTAAAAGAGAGAAAATTCTGCAGCCTAGTTTTTCCGTTGGAATTACTAATATTTATGAGCGAAAGTAACCAATGACCATTTTGTGAGCATACCACAAAATAAAAAATCCCCACAAACTTTTGCATTGAAAAATTGTCTAATGTAATTGTTTTATTTCAGATAAAAAAACGTATCGCCACATCGTGCTTTTCATCAAATATATCGAAACTTGCCCCTTGAAGTTAAAGGCGTGTCAGATAATACCTTTAGATTTCAGTTTCCCGATAATTATCCTTAATATAGTCGTGACATATTTGATTGTGGCCATACAGCTCACGCATTTTTTGTAGTACCTAACATCTGTTATTACTCATTATCTTAGAGTTTGACATCTATTTAATAATCTATCAAGGTCTATTCGTTATCACGAAATATTCCTGTAACCAGTGGATTCTTCGATTTAACTATCAGGATATTTGAGGCGATTGAAACAAAATTTACAAAATTCACTAGAGATAGTTTACAACTTCCAATAAATAAATGTATTAAAAAAAAATACCTCCCGTACCGCGGACGCCAAATACATTTTTCAAACCAGGAACCACCAGGACCAGGAATATCCTATGTACAGAAATAACAGTCATTAACCAATAGAAATGTGTCCATTTTATCAAAAGAGTTATTTAAATGCACGCACAGATTAAATCAGTTACAGTTCGTTGTGAAAAACAAAAAGCACTAATTATAGAGTGTAAAAAGATTTCACTTTTGAGACAAACTAAACTTGCGTACGCACAGTATTAGCAGCTCTTATAAACAAATGGGCTGTTAATGCGTCCATTTTAATATTTTTAAGCTGACCGAAAATAAATCTTATTTTGATTGTAGATTTTATAGTTTTAATGCAAATGTGACTTTCACGTTCATTGCATGTTAAATGCATAGAAGAAATAAATTTAATTCTTTGAATAAATATTCATTTTAGAATTTTTAGTTTAAAATTTTATGAGCACATGTCCACCTAACATAAACTCTCCAAATATTAGTAAGGTATTTAATATAAGCAACTATATTACTTCTGAAGATGAAACGGAGAAACTGAGGAAATTGAGAAGGTGAATTATATCGTATTTTCTAAACGCAAATTGTGACAATTTCTATTTATTATAGCACTAAATAACTTAGTAGATAAAATAATTACTAAAACATAATTAATACACTCATAGCTTCGCTGTAATGGTGATTTTCATTTATCAAATGAAAGCTAATGGATTGCCTCAAATTAATATGGAATTCAGTTAACATTTGAAGCCATTATTAAGAACACACCGTGCTTCTTACATAACTTCTCAATTTGTGAAAAGAAATTATTTATTCGCCAACAACGTTACGGATGTAACTTTACCGAGGACATTATCAGTACTGCTTAAATCAATACACATATTTTTAAGCTATTGCATAGCTTTTGTCGCGGCTTTGAGCGCGGCGACCGAATCAAGAAATTCCGTAACGAAAATAAAACCTAAAACCCGCCACTCCGACTACCATGTAGCGCGCGTTCAACACATTCACACGTTGCGCTTGTGTAGTGTTTGTGAATAAGCAAACGCGCAGCGTGACGTCGCACTGCATGCGCATCATAAAAAGACTGCCCATCTCTCTCTCGCGCGGTCAAGCTTATGAGTGTGAAAGGGACAGTTAATGTCTTGCTTTTGTTAATGTTTATAAATATAGCGTGGTCTTATTTTATTATTGTTTTAATATTAAATCATTATTGTCTAATTATAATTGCATAATTGATAAGAATGCTTTACCGCGGCAGTCCCCAAGTGCCACATGTGTTTTTTTCATTAGATTTAGGTGTCTACGAGCAAGAGACATTCAATGAACTGTATCGTTAAATTGTTAACGATTACCGGCAGTTTGACTATCAGCGTCGTGTGTTCCTCTTTTATGATATCCAACTTGAGTGAACACGCATTTGTCGGTTGGTACGCATTTTTCATCAGTACATATAACTTTGTCGTTTTAATTTTCACCCTTTCGAGGCGAATGCCTTTTGTCGAATTCTACAAAACGCTGCTAAGGTTCGACGTTAACCATAGAATGGACAGTAATGAATACAATTTTAATTTTAAAATTGTTCTTGCCAATCTTGTTTATGTCACCAACAGAGTTATTTTGACCCTAGTGTATTGGAACCGTAACCCCTAGAACTGTATAAGACCTTGGTATGCTGAAACTGTTTTTATATTCCCTTTGTACTTGCTATGAATATGTTTTTATTCTATGCTACTTATTGTCGCATTACAAGATTCCCTTCATTATTAGAAAAAATTAAACACGTTGTGCCTCTTCGAAATTCGTATAAATTGATCATTGATTTGCTTGAGAAAACTCAAAAGTCCTTTAATATTGTGGTAAGTAAGTTCAATATTTTAGAAGACTTTTTTTACCGAGAACTAACACATACTTTAACAGAAACTTTATTTTGAACCATTTAGCTTGTATGAATGTTACTACTTATTAATTTCTGCTTAGTGCTTGTTTTATCGTGTCTATATCTTCAAAAAAATATCCACTATATTCAAAATGAAAATTTTGGTCAACGGGTAGCTTACATATATGTATGTACTTACTTTATTAACAAAAACGATAACTTAATTGTTTTGCGAATTGCAGTTCATAATTTCATTGATCTTCAATGTACCAGAAACATCGCTGTCAATCTACTACAGATCAGCAGATTTGATGGATGGACGAGCTCACAGCCCACCTGGTGTCAAGTGGTTACTGGAGCCCATAGACATCTACAACGTAAATTCGCCACCCACTTTGAGATATAAGTTCTAAGGTCTCAAGTATAATTACAACGGCTGCCCTACCCTTCAAACCGAAGCGCATTACTGCTTCGCGACAGAACTAGGCAGGGCGGTGGTACCTACTCGCGCGGACTCACAAGAGGTCCTACCACCAGTAATATTAAATAATTATATTTTAATTTCAGATAAAGTCCTAGTTCAAGAAATAGAAATATTCATGAAGTATATAGAAAAACGACCGCTCAATCTTCGAGCCTGCAACTTGGTACCTCTCGATTTCAGCCTCACTATAATTGTTCTCAACATATGCGTAACATACCTAATTGTAATCATACAATTCACGCAACTGTACTAGTTAGTGGAATTAATTAAATCACCATTTAACTGATATTAAATTTTCAAAACCTGTATCCTACTATTTTTTTAAAGCTGGGGTGTTTGTTTACGGATACCCGAGTGGAGTGACAGACCGGGTTATGTTGGACTACGGCGCCACTAGAAAATAAGAGGGAGAAGAGGTCCTCATCCTAAACCAATTCTTCCCAGAAGACTACGCGCGAGGCACCCGCCCCACAGAAACGACTACCCACTAAAACCCCATCGATTTCCACCACACTAGCTAGACGAAACCTACGGTATCGCATAATACGCGCCAAACTTCCATGCTTCTTTATCTATATCTATACTAATATTATAAAACTGAAGAGTTTGTTTGTTTGAACGCGCTAATCTCAGTAACTACTGGTACGATTTGAAAAATATTTTCAGTGTTAGATAGCCCATTTATTGAGAAAGGCTATAGGCTATATCACATCACGCTAAGACCAACACAAGCGGAGCACCAATAAAGAATGTTTCAAAATCGGTTTTTTTCTTTTCTTTTTGAGAGCTTCCGCTCTGTGCGCTGCAGAAACGATTAAAGTTTAAATAATGTATGACAGAATTGTTCCCCTTTAAAAGGTCTAAAAAAAGTCCGCGACAGCATGTCTATATGTTAAGGTTGACTCACTATAAGGTTTTTTATGCTAACCAAATTTGTTCTAAAATAAAGTGAACGCGGACGAAGTCGCAGGCAAAAGCTAGTAAAAAATATAAGAAATTATTTTCTTGACTTCAATTAAGCAATTGTTTACTCTACTCAACTAGCGGAGTTATCGAGTGCTACAATCTATAATTTCATTGAGTAATTAATTATAAATTATCAGTTATATGTATCGACGCCTTCAATAATCCAAACATTACATGATTAAATTTCTAGTGTTATTCTTTGACTTATACTTATTTTAATAATAGTTTTTGAGTACCTACTATCGTATTTAAGATCAACATAAAATGTTTTTTTGTCAGAGAATTAGGTTTTAATCACAAACAAAGTTCGAGTTAATATTATATAAGTTCAAAATTCCATCGTTAGTCAATTAATTGACATTAACGCATACGATATACACAATAAACACGAAATCTTCATTTAATTACCTGTGTATACGAGTATATCTAAAAAGATTAGCAAGTGACATTAACTTAAAATGTATTACGCTTCATAGCATATTATAAATTACATATTACATGGCAGGACGTAAGAAACAGGAATTTCTCGAAACCATTTTATTTTAGTATCGTTACTAAATTGTCTATGAGTGCTATATAAATTTTTTTAAATATCGATACTCATCTAATGTCAAAAAAGTCCATAATAATAAGAGCAAAAAAATTACTACTGCCGTGGAGCAGTAAAACTCGCTCAGTTTGTTTAGCAGTATGTTCCTCTTAGGTCAGTCACACTGTTTTGTAAGCGTCAAGAATTTTATTGCCTTTGACAGTCAACTGTTTTTTTTTTTTTCAGATTTTATATCCATATTACATTTATTAACAATAACTACAATTTCGGAATAAAATAAAAATAAGAATAATAATAAAACAAAAAATAAAAAAGAATATCATAACTACCTTTTTTATTATTATACTACTAACAGCTAGTAACCTCAAGGAGCTTATTAGCCTTATCGAACGTCTAGGCGAGCTCACGGGGCACAGCTTGGAAGACTAGCAACGTTTTACGAAGTAGTCGTGGCGTAAAGCATAAGACGCCCAGTTCATTCATATTAAGCGATGCAACTGTGCTCGAATCCCGCAGGCGGGTATCAATTTCTCTCGTACCCAATGTTCACCATTTACTTCCTCTCTTGTGAGGCCGTACGGGTAGTTACCCTGTCTATTGCTGCCGTGGAGCAGTAATACGTTTCAATTTTAAGGGTGGGACAGACGTTGTATTGTATAAACTGAGACCTTAGAATTCATGTCTGGTAGTGGCGGCATTTACGTTGTAGATTTGTATGGCGCTTATCACCAGGCGGGCCGTGAACTCGTCCTCCAATTTAAGTAATAAAAAAAACTTCGCCCTTGCAACAGCAGTGCTTCGCTGTGTACGAGATGACTTTTAAATTGAAATAAATTTTAATTTAATACGGATGCATGAAGTTGTTACCATAGGATCTTCATCCAGCCGCTGGAATATCCTCTTTTTTTTT